AATTAGACCACCAACTTACAGAAAGCCTACCGGGACAGGGCAACACTTAAATTCTCACAGCTTCTATCCACTACGGCATAAGAGAAGTTTGGTGAAATGCTTATTCAAGAGGATTCGACATATCTGTACGGCTGATATTGTAGAGAAAGAAAATCAAGTATTGATGGATACTCTTGGTGAAAACGGATATCTATACCATTAAGCCAATAAGACCCGATACAATGGCCCACGAATTCTAACTTCTGCCAATTCACGACATAGAGCGACCACTAACCAATGTCTTCGTCGAGTATTTGTCCTCACACTCGACCTGCTGCACCCTGCTGGTCACGACTTCCCACTGGAGCCCCAGGTAATTATCTACCTGAATAGGGCCAGTCAGTAGTGAGCATCTCATTGATATTCAAGTGTTGGTTTGTAGGGATTTGATTGATTACAGGATTTTCATCATGAGCTGACATTAGTTAGAGAACCATTGTGTACTGCTGAAGAGTCCCAAACTACAACGAAACAGCTGTCCAGTACTCTCAAGCTTTCCAATGGTTCTCTAAATAATGTCAACTCATGATGAAAATCCTCTAACCAATCAAATCCCTACAAACCAACACTTGAAAACGGATATCCTTTAAAAATTTTAAACATATGTAGAAGTCAATGTATTCCGCCCTTAAAGATGTCTTATTCAAATAACCATTATTATATATTATTATTATTGTATCCTTTAGTTCCTAGAGGAACATAGGGCTTCAGCTGCGCACCTCCATTGCCTTCTGTTTTCTGACAACTTTTTCACCCCACTCCAGGTCTGTCCACATGCTTTCATCTCCTCCTCGCATGACTTCCTCCAAGTCACCCTTGCACTGACGACCAACTCGCCGCTTCCCTTTCGGGTTCCACTCGAGCGATGGCTTGTCTAGCGATGTCACTTGATGGTTTCCTGAGTGTATAGCCAGCGATTCCACCTCCATTTCCTCCTAACTATTTGTTTCACAATCGGTTCCTGGTTGGTCCGCTCCCAGAGATCCCTGTTTCTGGTCTTTTCTGGCCGGCCATCTGATCTTGAGTATTGAGCAAAGACAGCTGTTAATGAAGGTCTGTAGTTTGTTTGAGATGCTCTTTATGACGCGCTGGCCCAGTATCTGATCCGTACAGTAGCACTGACTTCACATTTGAGTTGAAAATCCGGATCTTGTTTTTGATTCTGAGTGTTGTTGACCTCCACACAGACCTAAGAGTAATGAAAGCTTGTCTTGCTTTTCCGATTCTGGCTTTGATATCCTCGTCAGTTCCTCCTGTAGTTAAAACGATGCTTCCTGGGTGGGTAGGTAAAGGAGGTTGTTTCTTTCAGGTTCCTCCCATTCATGCTGGCTGATTGTTGTCTGTTGTTTCTGTGGCTGTTGGTGTTGGCCAGGAATTTTCATCACCTAACTCTGTTTTCTCTATGTTCACTTGAAGTCCTATCTTCTCTGGATGCTTCTTCTGCCAACGTGTTGCTTTTCACTTGCATATCTTCCAGTTTGTGGGAAATCAGACATATATCATCGACGGGCGAAGTTCAGATCCTCCAAGTTGTTTTTTGTGTGAGTCCATTTTATGCCTGTTCCCTCATCGCCCGTTGTCAGTCGCATTATCCAGTCTACTGCAATCAGGAAGATCATTGGCGATAATAGACAACCTTGCCTCACTCCCGTCCTCACTTTGAAGGATTCTGTAAGTTTCCGTTGTGGATTACTTGGCATTCAGCATTGTCGTATAACTGTTGGATGAGCTGTATAATTGTCGGTGGGACCCCGTAGTAGCGAAGTAGTTGCCAAATCACCTCTCTATCGACGCTGTCTAGTGAAGGCCTTTTCAAAGTCGATGAAGTTGAGATAAAGAGGTGACTGCCATTCCAAGCTTTGTTCAATGATGATTCGTAGAGTGGCGATTTGATCAATACATAATTTGTTTCTCCTGAATCCGGCCTAATCCGGACGAAGTTTTTCATCCAGGGCTTGTTTGATTCTCTCTAGGATGATGCGGCTTAGTATCTTGCTTGGGATGGACAGAAGCATAATTCCGTGCCAGTTTTTGCATTGACTTAAGTCTCCTTTCTTTGGTAGTTTGAATAAGTATCCTTTCTTCCAATTCTCGGGTACTTTGCCCTCTTTCAACACCTCCTCCAGCAGTGGCGTCATCAAGTCTGCTGTTGTCTCTGGGTCTATTTTCAATGCTTCTGCTGGGATTCCATCTGGTCCTGCTGCTTTTCTAGCTTTTAGCATCTTGATTGCATTCAGGACTTCTGATTTCGTCGGGGGATCAATGTTCACTGGTACTTCTGCTTCCGTTGTTGGTAATGTTGGGCGCGTTGTAGGTGGCGGACGATTTAGAAGTCTTTTGAAGTGTTCAGCCCAGTGTTTTCTTTGTTCAACCTCTTTGGTGATTGACTTTCCATTGTCGTCCTTTATTGGCTTAATCTGTGTCGAACTTTTCCCCGGAAGGTGCCTAGTTGTTTGGTAGAGTGTGGCGAGGTCTCCTTTGCCTGCAGCTTGTTCTGCTTCACTTGATATGGCTTCATAATATTTTATTTCGTCTTCCCTGGCACTCTTCTTTACTCTTTTGTTCAGTGTGTTGTAGCTTGCATTCAGCTCCATACAATGGAGAAATAAATTGTAGGATTTCGAGAGAGAGATTAAACTCGATCATCCGTAGAACCTATTATGCAGCCCGGATTGTAATCACTGAAAAAGCCAAAAGTATGCTACACTATAAACCTGAAAAGTGCACAAGCGATTATGTAATATCCCACATTATTTGCCAATTTACGTGTGTGTTTGACATACATACATAGGGAGGAGTAATCACATTTTGTATATGAGGATGGGAGAGCATATTCCGAAAAGGTTAGAAAGACAGATGAACTTTGGAAAACCAACAGACACAGGTAGTAGACTACTAAATTCGTCTATAACCAAACATCTAATCGATATACCATAAGCTTTTAAGGTCATCTATAAAAATGGTCAAGGGCGCTTAGTGAAATACGCTGAGGCGACAGCTATTCATAAACTTAAGCCCTCCACTTCTCGCGTACTCAGAAAAAATGTAATATTACTCCTAACCTACCCTGGTAATCACTATCTGATTGGATAACCAAACGTTGTATTGATCATTCTTAAATCGTAAGAACGTAATTCTTGACGATATCTTGTTTGCATGCAACAACTGCCATCCTTCTTTACAATTCACTATAGAAAAGGAATCTGAACTAAACATTCCCTTTCTTGAAGTGTGCCTTGGTAGACGCAATGACGGATCTCTCAAAAGACCGATCCACCGGAAACTTAAATAGAATGGACAACAAAATCAATTCTGTGGTTGGGTGCCTATCTCTAGGAAAAGGAAGCTAATTCATTCACTCTGCTTTAGGATAAGAAACGTTTGTAGTTCTGGTTGCGTTGACTCAGAACTTGACTTCCTAAAAGCCACGCTCGCAGAAAACGATTACCCGAAATGATTTATTGACAGAAACATGAAAGATAAGGAGTCTAAACTGGTCACTGACTTAGTTCCAAAGAAAACCATACTCATGAACTTGGAACTCAAAGGTGATCAAGCTTCAGATATGCTCAAAAACCGACTCTCTAAATCAGTCGGTAAGACATTCTTTGTAGCAAAATTACAAATGACGATTACCAACCGCAAGTTGTTCTCCATCTCTGTAAAAGATAAACTCCCTTATCCGACCACCTCTGTGTGTATCTACCAGTTCACCTGCTCTTGTGGAGCAATGTATAGTGGCCGTATCCAGATAACGCTTTTTACAGGGATACGAGAACATATTCCAGCATGGTTTTACAAGGGAGAAAGGAAGAGTGTGCGAAGCTCTATTCTAGAACACCCGATCGACTCCTGTCACTTCCCCAATCCTGATTATGACTTTAAGATCATCTACCTAATCCATGCTAACTTGCCGAGTTTTCTTCGTTATAAACATCTAAAGACAGCGGAAGCCCTGGCGATTGATGAATCTAAGCCAGACTATTGTGCCCAAAAGAAGTATGTACAATTTCTACTTCTGCCTTGGCCGTTGAGGGACAGACATTTATTTATTTTTCAAGTATTGGTTTTGTAGGGATTTTGTTTGATTGCATGGAGGATTTAATCATAAGCTGACATCAGTTAGAGAACCACTGGAAAACCTGGGAGTACTGGACAGCTGTTTCGTCCTGGTTTGGGACTTCTCATCAGTACGCACCCACCGGGGTTCACACCCAGGACCTTCTGATTACAAGGCGAGCTCGTAGACCATTGAGCCACTGGGACCCGATCCAATGGTTCTCGAATTCTAACTTCTGCCAATTTATTTATTTTGTTCATTTAGTTGATCTATGTACCTTTCCCCCATTACTACGATTATTATTACTATTCTCATTCTGAATTGTTTTCACTTGTCCCACTCGTCATTCCAAATTTTAAAAAATGTTTTTACAAGTTGAATCCTATCTTATTAAATTTCAGACCATGTTGAGTAACGTTTTATATGAGCCCATCAATTCTATAATTATACACCCGTTTCCAATATCTACACATCTGATGAATTATTCCATATATGATAATAATTGTTTTGCCACTTGATATGTAACTATGATTATAATCACAAACAGTTTAATTGCATTTCATACTACTATTATTATTTCATATATTCACACCTATGATTCAATTCCCTCAACGGATATAATTTCTTTAAAAACACATATATATATATATATATATATATACGATTGTACAGCTTGATAATGAATTCGTTGAAAAGAGTCTCTTCGCTGAATATCACGTTCTTAAATCCTTTTTGTCACTTTGTGTACTTCATTTGCCCTTTGTTTTTTTCATATAAATTGATTTGGCAAGTAAGTGTGTGATCAGATTGTTCGAAATGTATGTGGCGCAAATACATATTTTTCAAATAATCGCCGTCTTATAATAACACTATCCAAATGTATATATTTATAATAATTTACCTGTCGTATATCTGTCACCGAGTAGGCATGACCAAGAATTAATCCCAGTGGACCATTGGCTTCAATCTCATGTGGATCAGCATCAATACTACAAGCCATTAGAGATGCACGAGCAAGTGCATGTTCCATAATACCGAACAGATTATCCGGAGCTTTTGAACCTAAATCAACAAGTTCAGTTAAACCACCAGTGAAATCTTCCATTGCTTCTGCTGTACAACCACCACGAAGTGCATCGTAGGAGAATACAAGTCTTAATGACAAAAATAATAATAATAATAGATTAATTGTGAGTGTCAAAGGGAAAGAATGAAAGAAAGAAACAACTTCAAACTCTTCGGAGTATATTAATCTAAGCTAATCATTTTTTTAATGGAAAAGTGACGCGAATAGCTCCATAACGCTAATAATATTTATGGATATGACCGTACAAGATATTTTAGCATATTTGCACAAGATTTCGGATTTTTGAGACGTACACAAGAAACTTATCAGTATTTCAACTACATAACTTCGTACTTGTAATTTTCCATTGAAATTTATAGCCAGAGTCAAAAAGTGTCATTCTCTTGTATGAGCTGTTTGAACAGGTACATCGATATTGTCTTCACTTGTAATATGATGTTACTTATTAGTTGGTGAGTAAAAGTAGAATCTAGGACACGCGTTTCGTCATTTGAAAGTACTTGCGTCCAATGATCGATGATGTTTCCCACTGAGACATGAACGTATAAAACCATCTCTCAAACATCAAAGCGAAGAAATATACATCCTAAATATCACTGCTAGCAACCAACAAATAAGTAACATCAAGTTAAAAAGCAGGATAATATCTAGGTATCGATTGCTTCAGGAAGTGAATAGACCAAAATTAGGCCGATCAATTGGATCCAGAAATATCAATAGGGAAATATAATTATCTACCAATAATATCAAAGCATCCGTATTGCACGAAAGATGGATCTTTTAGCTCAATAGCTTGGTGGGTTACACTTTCATGCTGGAGACAATGAGTGCTGGGTTCGAGTCCAAATGATAACGCTACTAAGTGGGATGCAAGCGAATCCATTCGACGAAGAACAAATATAAAGTAACACTTATCTTGTAGTCCAATGCTAACCATCATGGAACAAGTGATATACATCCTGCCTCCAAAAATCCCGCAGAAATTTAGAGGCACACAGATTGGTTGAAAATGTCTTTAAACAATTTCCAGTTACATGATGATAGTCAAGAGGTAAAAGTAATAAATGAATGCCGGGAGACATTAGCCAATGAATTATGTATGGCTTGAATAGATAAGTGGTGACGTGGTCTTTTACAAACCTGACGGTTTTGAACTGCATTCAAATAAGAGATTTGGGTTCATACAGCTGAATTCCTCAATCAGGACGAAACTGATAAGTATTTTTCCTTAGTTTTTATTCACTTTATAACAGATACCCGTTTTGTGAGAGAATATATACCCACCTAAAGATAAGAAGTTATATATACTAACGTTATTATTGTGCGTCAGTGATTCAGTGACAGAATACTCCCTAATCAATCTGGCGCCACGCTTCATTCAGTAGTTAAAGCAATTCTTAGAGGACTGATTACCGGTTTTAATCGTTACAGCTGCTCAAATCAACTTATCGTGTTCCAAATGAAATCAAGATGAACAAATATAGCAGTGAATAAAATACAGTTTTCCTTGAGAAGTGAGCCGATAACAATGATTTCACATATCCTGGAAGACAGCAATATTCCAGTAGTGGCTGCTTGCCAGTCAAGCCAGATATCCGGTTTCAATTACTGGTCGATGCACTCCGAAACCTCGACAATCCAGTAGTAAGCTCGAGAAAGAGACACGGTTGGGAGTAAAGCTAGCAAACCTACCTCATTACTGAAAATTTATGAGTTGAAGCCTTATGTGTTCCACTTGGAAGGCAAGGAATAAAAACAAATTTCTTGCAAATATAAATAAAAAAGAATAATAATAGTAGTAAAAGGAGTAACTAACTTGGCATATGCTTTTTCTAATAAGGCTGACCAAAATTCATTAGGATCAGCCGAATGCATAAACACTAGATGTCCATTACGAGTAGGCAATCGATCGTCAACCACAACATCAAACCAATCACCGAATCGCCAAAATCGAAACCAGAACATTCCAACATAAGGATATTTTGATGAAGATTTATCAAATGTTTGGTCAACTGGGACAACCTTATGGGAATACATTTTTTGTTGTTGTTGTTGTTATTGTTGTCAAAAACAAAGAAGAAAAAAAAAGAAACAATTACACTTCTTATTTCAGTAATGTGAACACAAATAATTCATAACAGCTGAGCGAAAAAAAAACACAAATCGAACAGTTATTAGTAATAAAAAAAATCAATAAGGGATAGATGAAAGGCTGGAAGTGGACTTTAGAAAAAGGATAGGAAAAAAAGGTGGGCAGAAAAAATAGCTCTGTCCAAAAATATACAGTAATTTCAGTATCATCAGCTTTCATATACCTTGCCAGTTCGTATTCTTCACGAAATTGATTAACAACTTTTCATATACATACATATAATTCCATTAGGTTCTGAGTGGAATATAGGGTTTCAATAGCACATTTCCATTTCAGTATGTCCTCTGAAGTCATCTTTATCTGGCTACATCCTCAGACAGCTAACTCAACGTTCCACAATCGGGTTCCACTAGAAAGCATGGCACGTGATTTCACTTAACGGTCTCCTCAGTGTGCATGTGTGTGACTAATCCATCTCCATTTCATTCAGCATACTTGTTGGGTGATAGATTCTTGGTTGGTTAGTTAAAGAGTTACTTATTACTAATCTTTTCTGGTCAGTCAACTGATCTTCAGTATGGAGTGAAGGTAGCTGTTTATAAATATCTATAGTGGCCTGATATCCGACTATCGACCAAAGGGTGGAGGTACTGCTCATCAGTCCACTCCGTCCTCCATTATGACTGCGAAACCTGGCCATTGAGAGTGAAAGACATGAAAAGATTAGCTGTCTTTGATCACAGGTGCCTGCGTTCTATCTCCCGTGCGAAGTGGTATAATACGGTGAGGAATATTGAGGTTAGGCGTCGAGTGCTTTCATCTCATCATAGGGAAGTAAAATCAATCGACGAGGCTGTGAAATTACATCGATTGAGATGGTTAGGACATGTGTTACGTATGCCTAGTCATCGGCTTACTCGACAGTGGGCAATGTTGGCTGACATAGGGTCAGGTTGGAAAACAGCTAGTGGCGGTCAAACCAAAAAAATGGCAACAGTCAATGAAATCCACAACAGTTAGTCTAAGCCGCGTAGGAAGGTGTAGACTTCCTAGTTGAGGTCATCGGGACGGTAAAAACCAATGGTTGGAAACAGTCCGTGATACGGCTCAAAATCGTTATCAATGACAGTGCAGATGCATCCACTCCTTGTGACCTATGACTTCCAATGAAACTATATTGTTCTCCGTTATTACTATTACTTTGTCTCACACCTCTGTTTACTGCCTCTAATATGCATTTCTTCTACTTTCTTCTCTTGCTTTGTGTGCTACATGTGGGGAGTGTGGCGACTTGAACTGCCGCACATATGTGCAAAGTTCTGTGTTGATGAAAACAGACAGACAAATATAGTGGCCTGTTAGAAATCCTTTCGTGATGCACCAAATCTTTGAGCCATGTAGAAAAACTGATTTAATATTGGTGTTGAAAATCATCAATCATATATGACATGATTAGTGATTCCATTGAATAATTGATGTTATGAAGAGATCCAATGACTTTGTACAATAATGAGGTAGGTCGAAGGAACATATGTAGAACAAACCATTGACTTATGTAGTCAATAGCAATTTTTAAATGAGTTAAAACTCTTTAGTCAGTCACTGTGTATCATTCAAATTAACTCAAAGACTCCAGCAACAACTAGTAATCATTGAAAATAAAAAAAAAACATGAAAAGGAAAAAGAAATTCAGCCTGCTATGTCCGGCTGGAGCAATCATCCTCAAACGGACGACAGTGATCAATCTCGCGCTACATTGATGATCATCTCTGCAAAACAAGGTTAGACAACCTCATTACGTCATTTAGTCTTCTTCTTCCTTTCGACTGTTTCAAACTTGAGCTATTTTTTTTCCTTATGAACGTTACTCACCTTACTTTTGTAGAATATTTTTTGTAACTACTTAACAAGTTATACTAATATAATGATCCCACTTAAACATTGAACGCTCCCAACCTCCTAGTTTCTTGAAGAATATTCTCATAAATAATCAACTCTTCTTATTAACATTTAATGGTTCAACTGGTTACATATATTCGGATTTATGTTACTTACACTTTCTGTTAAATAACTTCATTAAGAAACCTAACAAAAGTATGCTCAAATTATTTTTCCGTGATTTATACATATTTTGATATTATTTAGGTCGTAGGCAGCTGTACAGAATCTGTCTGTCTGTTTTCATCAACACAGAACTTTGCACATATGTGCGGCAGTTCAAGTCGCCACACTCCCCACATGTAGCACACAAAGCAAGAGAAGAAAGTAGAAGAAATGCATATTAGAGGCAGTAAACAGAGGTGTGAGACAAAGTAATAGTAATAACGGAGAACAATATAGTTTCATTGGAAGTCATAGGTCACAAGGAGTGGATGCATCTGCACTGTCATTGATAACGATTTTGAGCCGTATCACGGACTGTTTCCAACCATTGGTTTTTACCGTCCCGATGACCTCAACTAGGAAGTCTACACCTTCCTACGCGGCTTAGACTAACTGTTGTGGATTTCATTGACTGTTGCCATTTTTTTGGTTTGACCGCCACTAGCTGTTTTCCAACCTGACCCTATGTCAGCCAACATTGCCCACTGTCGAGTAAGCCGATGACTAGGCATACGTAACACATGTCCTAACCATCTCAATCGATGTAATTTCACAGCCTCGTCGATTGATTTTACTTCCCTATGATGAGATGAAAGCACTCGACGCCTAACCTCAATATTCCTCACCGTATTATACCACTTCGCACGGGAGATAGAACGCAGGCACCTGTGATCAAAGACAGCTAATCTTTTCATGTCTTTCACTCTCGATGGCCAGGTCTCACAGCCATAAAGGAAAACGGAGTGGATTGCAGCCCGCCCTTTGGTCGATAGCCGGAATCTGAGAAATAGTTGGAAAAAACCGAGCGCGTATTTACGCCGTTATCTTTGTCGTCTTATTGGTTTGTTCACGAAATTTAATCTGGTTAGAAACACTGGAAAAAGATATACAACAACTTTCTGGAGCACATCTCTACTGTACAGAAATGTATTCAGTATGTTGTTTTGGTTGATGGCAGTTGAATGTGGGATGAGCATTTCGTCCAATTTGAGAGTGGTTAGCTAGATGTACTGCCAAGTACCCAAGTGAGTGACAGATGATGTTCTCACTGAGAATCGAACAATAAACCCAACGTCTTATAAACTGTGAAGCGACTTAGTCACAGAAGTTATCTTTTCAATATCTTTCAGCTTTTATTTTAAGAATTTTACGACGAATCAAACTTACGAAAAAAAATATATGCATTAATTTTTTTCAAATATGTAGGCGGTTATAAACAAAAATATACACAGACGTTGTCTACTTAGCATCAATGCTTTTACAAACACTTAATAATATGCTTAAAAATTGATGAAGAATACAATATATGTCACATTTGTTTAAGTGACAGACATTTTTCCCTTATTGGAAGCATTAATTCTTTTTTATGTTTCTTTCTATCCTTCTTAAAATCTCTCATTTTTGTCCACTTCGTTCTACTGTATTGTCATAAAGTGATTAACTGTTTAGTGACGAGTAAAAAGTGAGTGTAGGATTCACATTTTACACTATTGAGGACTCATCAAATCTAGAATTACAGTGAGCGGAAATGTACGGAGGGGAGAATATGGGCATGGGGCATAATGAGAATTCAGTCGATATAGGAGTTCATAAAAAGTCAATACATCTGAGCAAATGAGAACGATTTTGAGTTATATGCCAGCAACAGTCTCTAAATATTGATTCTTAGCGTCTTTGTGACTTTATAAAGACGGTCCATACCTCCCCATGTGGCTGGGATTGTTTTACATAATTTCAAAACAACTGTTATTCGCATAAACAATTTTCAAACAAAGAACACACTTAAATGTATTGAATAATTTAAGTTATTGCTTTGTGATAAAATTATCATTAGGAGTTAAATTTATAAAAACTTAACAAAATATCTATCAAAACAAGCACCAATCACTATCGAAGGAAGAATTTTGAAATGGATCACTTTCTTCACTTATCTAGGCAGTATCGTTTCAACTACAGGCACACGAAATGGATGAGGATGTCTGCGCGAGCAAGGATCGGTAAGACAAGGCCGGTAAGGATTAGCAGCAAGAAAAGCTGGGAATGAACCAACCAATAACCTATTGCTTAACAAATATTCCGAAGAAAATGTAGATGAATCGGACGCACACAGAGAAGACTGTCAAGTGACATCGCGCGCCAAGCCATATCTCGAATGGAACCCGAATGTGAAACGATGAGTTGAGGGCGAGTATGAGGGTGACATCATGTAAGTTGGAGGAGATGAAAGCTCACAGGCAACCGTAGCGACAGTTGAAGAGGACTGTACAGAAGGGGACAAAATAGAGATGTGCTGATGAAGCCTCATGTCTTACTCTCAGCCAAAGGGAATAACAATAAATAACAAAATAGTTAACATATTATTGTTTACATTTCAGGTTTTTAGGGATTTTGAATAATTTCAGTGTAAACTTAGTTGCAGTGAAGCGGATGCTCATCGATGCGATTGGCTGGTAGTAGCGATACATTAATAATTAACAGAATTCAGAATCCAAAGATCTATAAATGCCAATGCAGTGGCTGAACCGCAAGCGAATTATTTACCTCATAAACTGAAGGTATGAGGTTTGATCCCTGTTGGAGGGGTGGGCAAGGGAGGGTCACGGGGTGTGCACTGATGAAGAGTCCCGAACCCGGAGGAAACAGATGTTCAGTGCTCCTTGGTTCTTAAGGATTCTCTCACTGATATCTGTCAGCATGTGACAATGACAACACCAGTGACAATGATATTTATTAAAGTAACTCTTATTAAAGGGACAAAGCCGAGACATAAATCAACACTAGCGAAGAGGTCGGCGTCGAAAAGCACTGAAAATGTGTGGAGTCAAA